AGCTCTCTGCGTGTGACCCGAAAAAACATTGGAGGGTGGCCCTAAGCCTTGGGACCCAGTACCCAAAGGGAGACCTGGAAGAAGCTCCTGGCTTCAGATCGGCTCAGCTCTGGCTTGGGGAGTGAACCAGCAGATGGAATATCTTTGTCTCTTCTCTCTGTAAATCTGATATTCCCATATAACTAAATAAATCTAAAAAAAAAAAAAAAGAGCTCCTGGAGATGTGGAAAATGAAAATGGAGCTGAAGGCCTATTCAGTGCCATAACAGAAGGCATCATCCAAGGACGGGAAGCATAAAGAATTGCTGATAGACGTGACAAAATATTTTTAATTGCAGGCATTCTAACCCATCTTTCAGTAGTAAAACACAGAGTTCTAAAATGCACACAAGGGAAACACCCAGTTGTTTTCAGAGGAACTTCAATTACACTAACATCTCATCAGAACTCTTATAGACTAGGAGGGAACGTGGAGATACAGCCCTGATCAACAATAAATACAACAACAATAAAGTAAACAATAAATAAAACAACAAAAAACCAAAGCAAAACAAAAACCACCTCTTCAGCAAGGTGCCCTGCAAACCTCTCACAGGAATAAAGATGAAACACATACCTTGCAAAATGAACAGAAGTTGAAAAGTTTGTTATCATTCAGCCTTAAAAATGGTACTTAAAAAAAAAAGACCCAGATGAATAAAAATTAAAATGTTACAACAGATACCATTGGAAAAAAATCAGGAATTACCAGAAATAGCTATATGCCAACAAACTGGACAATCTATGAGGCATGAACAGATTTCTGGACACAAATCTAGCAAAATTGAGCTGTGAGGCCATTTAGGAATGGCCAATGGCTATGACAGATCGAATCAGCAGTAAACACCCTCCCAACAGGAAAAAAAAAAGAACGGATGACTTCACTGCCTTTTGAAAGAGCTCATTTTAATTCTTCTCAAACTATTGAAAGCAACCGAAAGAGAAGGAATCCTTCTCAATTCCCATGAGACTAGCACTGCTTTAATTCTAAAACTAGAAAAGAAATACAGGCTAGAATTATAGACCAAGATCTCTGATGAACAAAAGAACAGAAAAATTGTCAACTCGGTACTAGCTAATCAGATCTAATCAGATCCAATAACTCAGGGGGAAGACCACTCACTCAGACCGAGTGGGATTTATCTCTGCTTTGCAGGAATGGTTCAACACGTGCAAATCTTTAAATGTTCTGTATAAGAGTAAAACAAAAAAGGTAATAAAAGCCACATTATTGTCTCACTAGATGCAAAGAAAGCATTTGACAAAATACAACATCTCTTCTTTCATGATAAAAATCTTAAGGAATGCTCTCTTCATATTCACTTTGTTTAAGACAATCGAGGCAAAATTTGGTAAGCCAACACTCAGCATCGTATGAGGAAAACTGGAAAGCATTTCTAAGAAAGTCCGGGATCAAACAAGGATGTCCACTTTTGAAATTACTATTCAAGATAGGGCTGGAAGTTTTAGCCAGAGCCACTAGGTAAGAAAAAAGAAATCAAAAAGGTACAAGCTGCAGAGGAAATAAAACGACCCTTGCTTGCAGATGAAATCATGAATATATGACATTATGAATACATCATGTATACATACATATGTACTATATATTACATAGGTACACATATGCATATGTGTTATATATGGAAAACAAATGGCTCCACTAAGAAACTGTTGGAATTCATGAGAGATTTAGGGAAAGTGGCACCATACAAAATCAATACAATAAAATCAATAGCCTTTGTATACACAGATAATGCAATGACTGAGAAAGAACTTACATAATGAGCACCAGTCCCAATAGCTATGAAAACATTTAAACACCCTGTAATTAATTTAACCATATTGTGAAGGTTATCTACAATGAAAATTACAAAGCATCAGAGAAAGAAATAAACAGCACACACACACACAAATCTATGTGCATGGCTTGGAAGGAGTGATACCAAAATGTCCAGACTACAAGTTCCCTGTGATTGCAAAATACAACTGACAGCCTTCTCAGACACAGGAAAAAGACATTGCCAAAATCTATAAGGAAATACAAAGAATTTCAAATAGCTGAAGGACTCTTACACAACTCCAGAGGCATCACAATATTCGATTATAAGGCATATTGTAAGGAAGTTACAGTCAGAACAGCACAAAAGTAGATATGTAGACAAATGGAACAAAATAGAAACAGCTCTTCAACAAACGGTGCTGGGACTATTGGATCTACGTATGTAGAAGTATAAAGAAAGACCTTTACTTCACACCTTACCCAAGAATCAACTCAAAGTGGATCAAGGATATAAATGAACAACATAGAAATACTAGCAGAAAACACAGGGGAAATTCTGCAAGACTTTTTCACACAAAGGTTTCTTGGAAAAGCCCCCAGAAGAAGCACAGGCAATAGAGCAAAAACAGACAAATGGGACTACATGAAGCTAGCAAGCTTTTGGACAGCCAAGGAAGCACTCAAAGTAAATGGGCAGTAGACAAATTGATGAAATAATTGCAAACTGTGCAACTGATACAGGGTTAAAATTCAGACTCCATAAAGAGCCCAATAAGCAAGAACCATAAAACAAACAACCCAGTTGAGAAAGGGGCAAAGGACGTGAATTTATCAAAGGATGAAACTCAAGCGGCCAATGAACCCATGAAAAGACGCTCAGGATCTAGCCATCAGAAAAACGCAAATAAAAACTACAATGAGGATTTGCCTCACCTCGGTTAGAATGACTATCATCCAAGAATAAACAAACAAACAATAATTCTAGCAAGGATGCAAGGGGACGAACACTGCTGGTGGAGATGCCAAGAGGTGCAACCATTTTGAAGACAGTATGGAGGTTCCGCAGACACCTGCCATAAATCTACCACATGACCCAGCCATCCCACTTCCGGCAATGCACCCAAACAAAGTGGATTCAGCATGAGAGAGGTCTCTGTATCCCCACATTCATGGCAGCTCAATTCACAATAGCAAAGACATGGAATCCATCCAGCTAGCCATCAAATGATGACCGAATAAAGAAATTGTGGCCTCTATACACTATTGAATACTATTCAGCTATGGAAACAACGAAATCCTTTGGCATATGCCAAGAGGCAGCCAGGGGTCCAGAACCTATTCCAGGCCTCCAAGCGCCATCTCCCTCTGCTTTCACAGGCACATCAGCAGGGAGCTGAACTGGAAGTTGGATCTTGAACTGGCGCCCCATATGTATTGCCAGTTTTACAGGCCGTTGCTTAACCTGCAACACCACAGCACCAGCCCCTATAGTTCTGATCTGATCTTACAGAATTCTCGTTTCCTTGGATTTGTTTTTTTAATAATCTCAAGGGTCTACTTAAAGGGCTTAAAAGTAACAAATGCTCTAAGTTATTGAAACACTCCAGGGCAATTTGTTTCAAAGAAAACAATTCCTCAAGAATCCTCATAAAACGTAATACACCTTTGAGAGATGGCATTCTTATTGGCTGGGTGGAGTAATTAAATTCTAGTGAAGCAGGCAGCCCTAGGGTGGCTTATAAATATGGACAGACAGCTAGTGATTAGGTCACGTATCCACCTGTTTATCACCAAAGTCTAAGTGCTTTATCTGTCATACGGTGTTTGGTTTTTATTGCTCCTATTTTGCAGATAAGGTTGAATCTTTTTTTTTTTAAAGATTTATTCAGTTTTCATTGAAAATCCAGACCTACAGAGAGAAGGAGACCCAGAGATCTTTCACCCGCTGTTTCACTTCCCAAGTAGCCTTAATGGTATGAGCCAAGCCAAAGCCAGAAATTTCCTCGGTGTCTCCCACGTAGGTACAAGATCTCACAGCTTTAGGCCGTGCACAAGTGGGGAGCCGGAAGGGAAGTGGAGCAGCTGGGATTAGAAACAACGCCCACAGGATATCCCGGTGCATACAAGGCAAGGATCCCAGTCACCAGGCCCCTGTGCCAGGCCTGAGAAGTTTGAGTCTTAAGGTTGTGCAAAGCGCTTAGTCACGGAACTGCTGTGTGGGGGAGGCTGGGACCCCAAGCCCAGGTCTGTGTGATACTGGGGTCTCTGCTCTGATGAGGCTGTCATGCCATCTCCTCAATCTTTAAGACACCACTAGCCACATGTCACATTTAGGGACTAGGGGCTTTATCACAACCTTGCTCGGAGATGGGCGGAGACAACCGTCAGGACAGCTTACAGCTGCATCCACGCTGGGACGCCACCATTCTCCAGCCATCTGCTATCTGCCATCTGTTCTCACTCCCCAGTGACCCCGACTCTGCCTAACAGCCCTCCCACCCCTTGCCAGCTCTCCCTGAACTCATCTCTCACTGATCTTTCAGAGCTCTGGTTCTCTAACATTTTCATTTGGCTTGAAAGGCTGTCTAATTGGCAAGTGAGGAATAATCTGCAAGCAAAGGAATCACCCAGAAGTGGCTTCTGAGAATGCTAGTAAAAGTTGCTGGGATGGGTGTGGGAGTGCAGCCATCCACGACTGAGGCTCCTCTCTGGTTTGGCTGGTCATGTGGGAATTGCGGCCTCACATGTATGGCTTATGGATCTCAAGGAGACCTCTTCCGCTCCCACCATCACATTTGTGTACATGACAAGGAGAAGAAGGGGGTGGCGAGGGTGACCCTCCTCTCGTGTGCGTCCCTTTCAAAAGGGAAAGGAAATTTTCTCAAATCCCTCTAGCCTGCACCTCATTAGCCAGGGCAGGATAAAGTTGTCATCTCTGACTTTCCAGTGAGACCAGAGAAGCAGAAAACCCACAGCTGCATCTACGCCGCAAGGTGGGCAGGGAGTACTCGAGTGGCTGCTGGATTACTGAGTCAGTGGCTCGTCTGGTGCAGCGGCTTTCAGCTGTTTTGTCACCCTCAAGTAGACTGCTGAGCACGCCCCCTCCCACTCTCACCATTATCCTGCACAGTTGTTGCATCAATACCTGTAGCATTGAGTTTATCCAGGCTAAAATACATACCCTCGAAATACAAAGAGTGTTCCTTCTTCTGACACTTTGATCAAATCTTGATTGAGGCACAAGAAGAGAAAGCAAGCCTTTGAGAAACTCCATCAAGATATGACTGTATTTCACTGCCATGAAAAGCAAACAGAATCCAGGGGATCAGCAGGGAGGTCGCTGAGCCCAAGCTCTGGGGCTTGCCTACCTGTGCTAACCATTTCCGTGTTGGCTGACCCCCTTTCAGAGGCTGAACAGGAAATGGCGCCGGAAGTCAGGCTGACGCTCGCTTTGTGTTGGTAAGCCCAATGAAGGGGCTGCGAGGGTGGATACCGGAAGCTACTGGGTGAAGTTGACCTCGTTGCTGCCACTGTCTTAGAGTGGGCACAAGATATACTGTCCACTGAGCGTTCCTGAAGCTTTGCGGAGCCCCTGCCTCAGCCTCACGGCTCCTTTCACATCACCATGATTCTTGCTTGTCTGTTGCTACCATTTGCTCTTATCTCTGCCCACCCCTGCTCGCCTGAATGACCTTTGGGAAAAAAAATGCATTTTGGAGTCATAAGTTCAGAGAGTAGAAAGAGTTGCTGGGGGTGGGGACAGCTCAAATTTTAGCCAAAGTCAGCATCTTAACCTAAGAAGTAGTTCCAGCTTGCAGCGACATTCTCAGAACGAAGGATCAAGAGTCAAACAGCATGCTAATTATGTGTTTTCATAACGTGTCAGAAGGGAAATTTATGTGAAAAGCTTAGATTACACCACAAAAAACATCCACGTATGAAGAGTCACTTTTTAAAAACATGCTTAGCCAAGTGCCTGAAATGCAGAAAATTCTCAGTCAAAGTTGGTCATTGGTAAGAAAGCATCTCCCAGAGAAAATGTCTCAGGAGTGTTAACATTCCACTAGAAAGGAAGAGCCACATAGCCAGCCATTTCTCAGAGCGTTTTCCAAATGTTGGGCTGCTTTAAGCCACAGTTAGAACCAAGGTCACTGACAGGGCAGATGGAGCCGGGAAGAGCCAGCAGGTGGGAGAAGGCAGGCAGACAAAATGAGATGAGGAGAAGGAGGCCAAGGCCACCTGTGCATGCAGTGTCTCTCTGCAGCTGGGAAGAAAGACTTTCCCCCCTCCTGAGCGCCCCAAGAGGAGCGAGGGGCCTGCCTGGTCAGTGAGAACTTAGGGCCACCTACCTACCTATGACCTGGGTCCTCTTGGGCACAGACACGTGGCAGAGCCACGGCACCTGGGATGGCCCCATTTACTTTCTGTTAACGCTTTGCCTTAGCCGCACCTGTTCCACAGGACTGCTGGCCTGCTGTAGGTGCAGCTGTGGCCTGCAAGGAAGTTGCCGAGCTCCCACCCCAGGTTTATCCTAAGGCACCTAGAGTCGTGTGTTCTCCAAAGGGGACCGCTGGAGCAGGCAAGCATGAGGGCGTAGTTTTTTGTTGAAGAGTCCCAAGGGTATTGGTGGATATGATTAGGGCACTGGTCACTGTGGTTGGTTTATTAGTCTCTGATGTCACTTCCATAATAACGTTCCTACATAAAAATGCTCCTAAGCCAATCTCCCTGCCTGATTAACAGCAACTCAGCAACTTTTTTTTTTTTTTTTTTTTAGGGTGGTACTGAGGTGTGTGCGCTGGGCTATTGCTTGTTTAGAGGACAGTGGGCTTAGGACGATGTGGTCTTCTTACAAGGACCTCATCCTTCCTCTACATTGCCTCCTGCCCTCCCACATTCTGCACCAGTGGGTTCTTAAAGTGCAGTTCTCTGGGAATTTGCAAGGAAGTCACAATCTTAGACTCTACCCGGTTGGAAATTGTGGGGACAGGACACAGAAACCTGTTATAAGAAGCCAACCAGGTGATGTTGGGTGCTCAGTCAAAACTTGAGGATGGCTGCTCTACCCAAAAGAGCAGCCAAAAAGACCAGTAGGGCTCCAAGCTCCCAGGTGCTGCTCAGGCTCATATGGAGTAGCAAGCACCTACACCTGTGGTTCACCTGACCCCCTCCCCCCCCCAAGAGCCTGGGGAAGGGGATTTGTAGAACTGGTCGAGGGGATTGGTATCATCCTCAGGAAACATTCCCCAGTTGTCCTCATGAAGTGAAACTTGCTGCTAATCTGTCACGATTGCATTCCATTTACAATGCTTGGCTCTGGTGTTGGACACCCACCCAGGAGTTGTGTCTGTGCTCTGAGATGTGAGCACGTGGCATTGCCAGTCTTAGGCGACAAGGATGGAGCGAATGGGGGCCCTGAAGGAGGAGGAGACACTGCCCTGAAGCTAGAAAGGCTACAGGAAAGACTGCCTCTTTGGGGACCAAAGGGAATTCTTCCGTTGTAGGTGTTATCAGGAAGCAACGCAAACGGGCGAAATGGGCAAACGAGATTACTGGGCATCTGCGCTAACACACTGGGTTATCTCTCTCACCAAAACCACAACTCAGTACGTTTAGAATACTGACAGTAGTAATACAAGCTGCTTTATTCACAAAAACACAACTTCTGTAGAATGTACTCTCACGGTTCACTCTGGACAATTTTATATTCAGCCATAAAGTCTATCAGCATTGGCATGCGCACAAATGCATGAGTTTTCATTCTTTCAAACCAGTCGTACCATTTCGCCAGCTTTCACATGAGTTCAGCTTATTTCATATCATTTCTATGAAGGTCATGGCTTTACCACAGCAGAAAAGAAGAAAACCTTCCTAAGCAAGGCCATGGACTTCCTTGGGTAGCCAGCTGTGTAATGGCCCCCAGGGATGTCCAGGTCCTAACTTCCGGACCCCGACACGGATAGCTCCCTTGGTAGAAGATTCTACAGGTGCAATTCAGTGAATTGTCTTCAGATGGGAAGACCTCACCCTGGATGGTTTAGGGAGATGCAATGCAATCACATGAGAATCCTCACACGACAAGACCACAAGAACCTCTGGCTTGGGGTTCCAGTTTCCACTCTGAGCCAATACAGTCCAGAACAAGAGGGGGGTGCTGATAACTTCCTCTCTCACTCACGCTTATCCACACACCAGACTTTCTGAAGCATCCATCGGCCTATGTCGACCTTGCACGAAGCTCTTATTCCTATAACCTTTGACATGAGAAAGCCCAAAGCCTGTGCGTGGCCCCGACCTGCTCACTCCCAAGCAGCTGGACTGCACATTCAGTACCACACTGTCCAGACGAACTTCACTCTGCCAAGCCAGAAACTGCAAATGTCACTTGGACTCACAACTTGAGCTTCTTGTCCAAACCCAGACATGTATTATCCTTAAAACTGCTACTCGGAAGCCTAGTGGCTAAATCCTTGCTTTGAGTATGCTGGGATCCCATAAGAACACCAATTTGTTGTCCTGTGGCCTGGGAAAACAGTGGAGGACGGCCCAAAGCCTTGGGAGCCTGTACCCATGTAGGAGACCTGGAGGAGGCTCCTGGCTTCAGACAGGGCTCAGTGCCAGCCCTTGTGGCCACCTGGGGAGTGAACCAACGAATGGAAGATCTTTCTGTCTCTCCTTCACTCTGTATATCTGCCTTTCCAATAAAAAGAAAGAAATCTTTTACAAAGCTGACTCTTGGGGTACCTATTTGCTCTGTTGGGCTGCTGCAGCAAATACCTTAGATTGGGTGCTTTCTAAAGAGCACATGTTTGTCACTCACAGTTTGGGAGGCGTCCCAGGACAAGGCAGCTGCAGGTTTGGCGATGGCTGGGGCCGGTTGCTCACTCTGGGGTGGGCGCAGGGGCCTCCAACATAGCCTCCCATGGCGGAAGTGGGAAGCTGCTTTCTGCAAGCAAGCCTCAGTTGGTTCTAATGGAGGCGCTCATGACCTCATCGCCTCTTAAAGGGCCAAGCTCGATGGAAGATGGGATTCAACGCAGAGGGGCATAAATACCAAGATCACAGCATTGCTGTGTCAATCACTGCATTTAAAAAAAAAATCACCCGGAAATACACTCTTTGGCTCTTGGGCATTCCCAAAGAAGACTGGCCAAGATAGGTCACTAGCCTACCAATAAACACTGCGTGGTGATAGATAAGAAAGAGTTGGGACATGGGTGAGGGTGCAAAGGGTGGGGAGGCTGGCAGGGTGAGCAGCTAGGGTGGGGAGGGAAGGAGCAGGAAGTCAAAATTCCAAGCTCACATAGGATAGAAGAAATGCATCAAGTGTCGGAGGACAACTCAACTGTTGAGTAAGGGGAGTGATTTCAACGAACCTCTTCCAGGGAGGAGAGCTGTGGTCCAGAGAGGCTGTGTTCCAGTCCGCCGGACTTCTCTGGATCTGCAGGAAGCCATCCTTTCCTGCTGCGTGGCCTGCACAGGGTTCACAAAGAGTGAGTCAGCAGCTGCTTATTTGCTCCTAATAGGCGCCCTGCAGACAGCCCTATCAAGGCAGCTAAACAGAACCCAGTTCCAGCTGTAGCAGCTATTAAGGCTGCTTTTCAAGCAATTGCACCTAGCGGGAGCTGGGAAAGGTATCAATTAGCTATTTTGATTAAGCCACAGCCAGGAGAGCAACCTGAGGGAGCTGGGCCTATCTCCAATCCGAACTTGTCACTCTCTTGGTTTAGAAGAGTGGAGAGTCCCAGCTCTGCTTACAGCCTATGGAGGCACCAGAGGATGGCCCCAGCCACTGCGATCCTGCACCCACATGGGAGACCTGGAAGAAGAGTCAGACTTTGGGTTGGCTCAGTCCCAGCCATTTATGGAGTAAACCAGCAGACAGAAGCTATTTCTCAGTCTCTCTTTCTCTCTGTAAATTTGCTTTTCAAATAACAATACAATAAATTCGTTTATTTGAATAAAATTATTTGTTTGAATTTATTTATTTATTTGAAAAGTAGAGTCACGGAAAAGAAGGAGAGAGAAATAGAGAGGGCGAGATCTTCCATTTACTGGTCCACTCCTCAAACGGCCACATGAGTGAGGGCTGGGCCAGGTTGAAGCCAGGAGCAAGAGCTTCATCTGGGTCTCCCACGTGGGTGACAGGGACCCAAGAACTTGGGCTATCTTCTATGGCTTTTGCAGGTGCACAAGCAGGAAGTTAGAAGTAGCTGGGATGCGAAGCAGTGCTCATATGGGCTCCTGGTCTCCCCAGCAGTGGCTTGACTTCTTCATGGTGACAGGGTCCCCACTATCTCACTTCTGAGTGGCATCTGCTTCCAGTTCTTTCTTTGAGATGTATCTCTGAGTATTTAGCACTCTCGTTCTAGATGAGATGAGATGCATAGAAGGGGGTGCGTCAAAGTGTTCGTGGAAAACAAAATTCAAGGATGTCTACTCAGTGGGCAGGTGCTTTGTTCAGCTGCTAAGCTCGTTTCCAAGAGGTCTACATCCTGTATTCATGTGCCTAGGTTTGACACCTGGCTCCATTCCTGATTCCGTCTTTCTGCTAATGTACACCCTGGGAGCCAGCAGGCCACACCTCAAATAGCTGAGTCTCGCCATCCCAGGGACACCAGAGCAGGCTCTGGACTATTGGCTTCAGCCTATATCTGACC